TTGAGCTCTGTTCCCAGGGTAGAAGGGGCATTGTCTCAGGTTTCTTGTGCCAGGGTCTGCAGGTGCTGGCTGTTTACCTGGTGCTGTACTGATGCTGCCCTGTGTCCCAAGGGGGACTGTCATGACTGTCTGGTGCCTTGCTGAAGGGGTGTTATGGACTATTGGCTGGTGCTACTGGAGGCCATAGGGGTCTGTCAACTTACCTGGTGCTAAGCTGGGAACCTAGTGCTGGTTTCTGGGATGTGTCAAGGATGGTAGAGTATCTCTGTGTTTCTCCAGAGATACACTTAAGCAAGCAGCTGATCGAGGCTGCCTATTTGCTTAGGTACCTGTAAGTTTGGTGTCTATCCGTCTGCCTGGAGTTATGTTGAAGCATGGGGTGGTTCTCAGAGCTAGAATCTTCTGGTTCCCCCAGCTATGCTGAGGCATATAGGGAGTCCTGGTGTTGGTGTTTGCCTACTCCACTGCAGTACTACTCAGGATCTACCACTGGCTTGCTGAGGTAAGGCTTGGTGCTGGCTTGCTGGGATGCTTCCTGTCCTGGACTGCACTCCTCTTTTACCCAAATAGGACAGAACTTTCCTCTCAATCTTCCAAGTTTTTTGGGCTCAAGGATTGTTTCACCATACCTTTTTGCTGGCTCTGCTGTTCCAGGATTTATTTGGGGGTGTTATTTTCTGGTTGTTTGGAGGTGAATATGGGACAGTTATGGAGATTTACTGCTTATTCCACCATCTTGGCTCCTGGGAGTCTCTAACAGTCTTCTTTTGAGAGCCTAACCTACAGCCAAGAACTAACAGGCACTAGAGAAAATGATTTTCATTTCAAAGGTATATTTTATTTAAGAATTATAAAGATCTTTTAAAATGATGATGACCATTGAATTGGATTTTCTCACAGTCTTATCTACCAGTTAAAAGGAACAAAAATAATCTGAAAAATCACCAAAATATTTTAAACGTTTGAAGATATTGGCAGGTTTTTTTTTCTTGTTTAAGTCCAAAGAAGAATATAACCATCCAAACTTGTTTTTTTAAAATTATTATTATTCTATGGTAAAAATGAGGGAAACATAAAACTGAAAACAATATTCATTTTCACAAAATAATAATCCACATCATTTATTTATTCAACCAAGGAAATCACAGTCTGACACTAGGTTTGTTTAGGATTATCTGTTACATTTACATAACATCTACATAACTAGATGAGATGCAGAATAGAAACCCACCTCCATAACATTTTATTAAGCTACTTTCTTCTTTGATAAGCCCTGCTTCTCCTTATCCCCCACAACTTGCCAGTGTTTATTTTTTTTTAATGATGAACCCCGATTACCCAGGGACAATCACTGTGGTCCCCTACCTAAACTTGCTTTATACCATTATCTAGATTTTTTTCATTGCTCCTTCCTTTGTCAAGCTTTAACTGTCTTGTTTTCAATTCTTTAAAATATCATCTTTCATGCCATTTATAAATGAGTTATCTGTCAACATCAGTAGAATATAAGATACTTGGGGGCAGCAAATGTCTTACTATTGTATTCCCAGTCCCTCACATTTGCTTGTCACATAAAAGGTTAAGAATTAATGAATGTTTATTTAATTTATTTAAATTAGATTTGCTTGAATTGAATGTATTACTTCCAAGGGAGTACAGCTTAAGGTCTCTGGACTTCCATAGCCATTATGGATAGGGTAAGGGTAGGGCCTCTGATTTTCATTGTTATAAGATTATCAGATTAGGAAATATCCTTTACAAATGCAAGGCAGCATTTGTTTGTTTGTTTGTTTGTTTGTTTTGTTTTTGTTTTTTATTTTTTCCTGTAACTTATCGCCTATGAAATTTCCTAGAAAAAAAGAGATTAAGTGACTTGCTCTGGCACACACAACCAGTATATGTGAGAAGCACAACTTGAATTCTTGTGTTCTGGGGTCTGAGCCTGCCTCTCTGTCCACAACACACTCTGATAACACAATTAGAAATTAATAATGCACAGCACAGTGATATCAATTCTTATCATGAAATGTAGTCCTATTGGATATATATATATATATTCACAGAAACAAGAAAAGAAATTCCTAGGTAAAAGAACTTTGTATTTAATTCAATTTTGACAAATTGGAATCTGCTGAAGTGAGCAGTCACCCCAGAAACTTAGTTTAGTCAAATGTTGAAAATGGTTTCAAGAAAACTTACTATGTGGCCATGGTCTAGTCATTCAACCTACCTAAGCTTTACTTTGTCAGTCTCTAAAATGGAAATAATAATAGAATCTATCTCAAAAGCTTGCTGTATTGTAAGACCAAAAATTGTAAAGTTCTTTGCAAACCTTAAAGTACTACAAAAATGTTAGATTTTTTTTTTGATTGGAAGCAGTATGATACCAAGCAAAGAGCACTCTTCCTGGAATCAGAAAATCTGGGTTCAAATCTCACTCCTGACGCTTATTACTTTGAAAAGTCTCAACCTTCCCTACCCCTGAAAAATAAGGAGGAAGTTGAGCTAATGACCTCTATTCCAGCTCTAAATCATGATCATTTGATCTTCCCAACAGCCCTGTGATGTAGATCAGAACAGGAATTATCCTCCTATGATTTATGAGTTGAACATTAGGTTAAGCACTGAGGAAGGGAGCACCAGATAAGGAGGATAGGAACATGTACCTACCTATTCTCATTTTCTTCCAAAACTAGGAGTAGAGTGCTAGAGAAAACTCATACAACTGATAATTATAAAATAAGGAAACAGCTGTAAACCTAAGACATTTACCAATTGCACAGAAAATGTCCTCCACAGAATCCTCCCCACAAAACAAAACAAAAAAGCCTAAAATCTTCCCTGTGGATGCTAAGGTTCTTGAGATGTTCAAAGGGGCAATGTAAAAACTAATATGATCTCAAACTTCCATAATATAAATATAGTGTATAGAATGAGGGAGGAAGTAGTCCTATTCTATTCTCCACTTGTCAGACAACATCTGGAGCATTATGTTCTGTTGCTAGCACCACATTGACAATCTCAAATCCATCAAAAGGAAAGCAACCAAGATGGTGACAGGATTGGAGACCATGCCAGACAATGTTAGCTTTAAAGGAATTGGCAATATTTAAAACAGTAAATGTAAGTCTTGGGGGATCTGGGAACTGTGATGATAGATTCTATGAATCAGTAAAAAATAAATCAAACAGAGGAAGTCATCTAATATATTAAATGAGTCCTCCCTGAAGAACTTATCAGAAAGCATGGAGAAAAATATCAAAGGATGAGAAACCATTGAGAGGTTGTAATGTGATCTGGTAGAAGAAGTTCACAGGTTGGTGAAATGTCCAGTCTATTAAGGTACCAAAGTTCTTGTAAAAGTGACAATGGTATGATATCCAGCTTGATTTGGAACATAAAAACTGTTAGTGATTTGTGAGCTTCTTGAAAATAGTTATATCGCAAATGCTTTGCACATTACTTGACATATAGAAGGCACTTAATGATTACATGGCACTTTGACTTCAGCCAAGTATTCATTGTTTGGTGCGTTGAAATTAATTTAACTTCACTTTGTGCACTTTGGTGAACAATTTTACAGTTTGCCAGGGTATAGTGAATCCCTTTGTATGATGCGTCTCCTTTTCAAAATGAGATACTGATCTTTGATTCAGAAAGAGTACATCTGAATTTTGTGATTCTGTATTCCAGAAGTAGCATGGACAAAGGAAAATGCAAATTTCAATCAAAGTAATATATTTTGAGTGCATAGCTTCTCCTCCTCATCCCACTTCTTTTCTTTCTCTTCCTCCTCTTTCTTTTCCTCCTCCATCTTCTTCTCCATCCTGTTCTTGTTCCAATTCTTCATGTTTTTATTATTGTTCTTCTTCTTCTTCTTGGGCTTGTTGTTCTCCTCCTCCTCCTCCTTTTCCTCTTCCTCCTCTTCCTCTTTCTTCCCTCACTGTGCACCTTCAACATTCCACCTTCTATTTGTATGTCCTTCCACAGGAAAAGTTTAGTTTATAGTAGGCAACCCCCTATGAAAATTTGTTTTTGTTAATTCTTTTATTATCATAAGCTCTCTTCCAAAATTCTGTCCATGCATATGTTGTATGATCCAGAGATTATGTAAATTTAAGAATTATGAAAGTAGGCAATGTTTTATTTAATCTTTGAATCTGGAGAGCCTAGCACAGTATCTGGTACATAGTATATTTTCAATAAATGTTCTTGAACTGAATATACATTTTATCCTTCACAGATCCCTGAACCCTGCTTTGTATCAGTGAGCTTTCAATTCAATTTTAAAATGCTTATTAAATATATACTGTTAAAAACATATGGTAAATATTGGTTGCTTAAGATTAATTTTTGCTAATAAGTAAATAACTGGGAAAAAATTACAAAAACTATGTTGCTGTGATAATAGTGAGAATTATAGGCACTGGTTCAAGCTAGGGATAAGAATGGGAATACTTTTAAAGAGTTTCTCCCTCCACTTTTGAAGAATATTAATGCAGTGTATGTGAAATAGGATTGTGGGATCATTGACTGGAACTATAAGGGACCTAACAGGTCATGTAGTTCAGAGGTGTCAAATTCCCAAGTGTAGCAGGAACCAGATTAAAATTTAATTGGGAAATATTTAATCAGACAAATAGAAATACAATGCAATATAGATGTCAATCTGTGATTTTCTAGGTCAAAACTTTTGGTCCATTTCAATTTGAGTTTAACACCATTGATTAGTCTCTAACCCTTTAATTTTATAGGAAGGAGACTGAGTCCCCAAAGAGAATAAATGACTTATGCTAGGTCACTCTAGGAGTAAAATCAGAGTCAGAAATTGAATCCAAGTCCTCTGATTCCAATCCTGGTATACTTTCTACTCCACTGTTGTTTTTTTTTTCTTTTCATTTTATGGCTTTTTTATGCATGTACATAAACATACCATCCCAAAATGACATTACTTAAAATGTTACAATACGATGTATAATCACTAGTTTTCTTATTTGCAGGTTTTTCTGGCTGAATATGCAGGGCCTCTGCTTATTTACCTCATCTTTTACATGCGACTCACATATATTTATGATGCAAAGGAGAGTTCCAGAAGATTGCGCCACCCAGTGGTACAGTAAGTGATATATCAGGGATGCTGGAAATGCTAAGAAGACACACAATCTATGGTGCAGAACAGTGAATGTTTTGTCTACATGATGTGGAATAGCAACACACTACACATGTGTTTACATTTTAAAGAAAAAGATATATAATCTAGATTAGTATTAGCCTAGGCTATGTCAACTGGACTGAACCTCTTGGCCTGTAGAGTCCAGAGCTGAACAGACAGAGCAGGTAAGAACAACTGTGCAGAGACTAAGCCAGAAGCTTACTTTCTATAGTGAGGGAAATGAGTTGCAAACAAGGAGGGAAACTGGACACATGTGCTGGGGCCCCCTTTAATAGGGGAACCCACTTTAGTGTGGGCAAATCTCAATGCATATACCAGTGGTTACATAGTGAGCTGTAGCCTTGACAATAAGGCGTAACAGCTATAATGAGACAGGTTTGATTCATAGCAGGGCTTCATGATCAGAACATGGGCACTGCAATTACTTGTCCAAGCTCAGAGAGCACCTGGTACTGGTTAAAGCAATACAATAATTATATGAAACAATTCTGGGATTTTGCTGTGACTGAGTTCATCCAAAGGGTGAGGGCAAAGATTGTTGTTATGCCAAATTGAGGGCACAGCTTTCTTCCTGGGCCTTAGTTCTGGAAAACCAGGTGTCTCCTAATAGTATTTTGACAATTGTAATATCTCTGCTCTTTGTGGCCATACTTTGTTTCCAAGAGTTCAAGAGTTTTCTGTTGAAAGCAAAACTAGGTTTTTCTTTATTTATTTTTGTGTTCTCTATTCTGAGGATTGATGTGCATTGGTTTTATATATATATATATATACACATATATATATATATTTTAGGAAATGGTGATAATTGACATAAATATATTTTCTTTTATTAAACAGATCAAAGTGAGATTTGTTTTAACTGAAATATGCTTTTATTTCTTTTAATTTTGTATTAATTTTTATTTTTCTCTAATCAATATATGATTTGACTAAACAGAAGACAGCTAATTCAGAAATAACTCCATGATGATAACTGGTTATTTCTCATCTTTTCCTATAGGAATAATTCCATTTTTTCATAAAAGTATTGTTATTGCTTATCATGTCCAACACATCCCAACTCTTTTCTGCATAGACTACAAGCCTACTCACCACCCCAACTTTTTAACATCTTTGCTGAATTTTTCAGTGTATATTCCATTGTCCTCCTTTTCACCTTTGTACTGAGCAACAAGCATTAAAGTATAGATTGGTTTAATTGGAAGGGTTTCTAGTTCCTTGTAGAAATTCTATACCTTTTTATTCCTTATGACAACTAATGGTGTGTGGGTGTGTAAGTACTGATTATTTTATAATGATCTTTGAAAAGTACTGATGATGAGTACAAAAATCATTTCATGTTCTGTGAAATGATGTTTGTATTCAGAATAAAACCAACTTATTCACCTTTTTTATTTGCCTCTCCAAGGAGAACTTTTGAGTCATCCTGTTAATTAGCTACAGCTTCCCTTTGATTTCTGCTTTTATTTATAATAAGGATGTCTAGGTTGGTATAATTCATTACCTCTTGCAGTATGTTCACTTTTCAGTCACTGGACAAGAATCTAATGTTTAGATTACCAATATTTAAGTTAATGTTTATAAATTTATCTAGAAACTATATAATTATTGTGTCCTTTTCCACCATTATGCCACCATCACTGTGGGAACAGAAGGGACTGAGGAATATTTTATATTTTTCTGTTTTGTTTTTGTTTTTGTTTTTTTTTTGAGTTGACATAGCCATTCAAGACCATCCAAATTTTTCACCAAGTGCCAGTGTACTGCTGATGTTGTACCTCTGGTATAGAAGTAATATTTTCAAATTTATTTAGTCCAAATTCTCTTCCCATATTGATTTTCTTTTGTAATATTTCTAGTAATTTCCTCATGCACACATCACGGATTGTGATAATAAAGAGCAGAAGTGGTGGCTCTACTTTCAGAGTGTCAGGAGAGAAGAGCTTATTACAATACTCTTGACAGATCATTTCTATTTTCATCTGTTTTTGTAGTCCTTCCAGTTTCATCCTCCAATACTATCTTAAAAATGGACAAATACTCACTTAAATCTGTCACTCTCCAATCTTTCTGTAAACTTACTTTTCACTCTAACACTTCTCACTCTTTTTATGGGCCTCTCCATACTTAATTAGGCTTGTCATTGGAAAGCAGACACATTCTATTGCTGAGCCCATGTTCAAAGCATTTCCAGTGTAGTAGAAAGTATTAAAACATAGGAACTCTAATAGCATAGCTTTTGAGATCCCTGAGACACCTGTGTGCCATAAAGAAGGACTTTATAGAGAGCCATCTATCATACAGCTTCCAGAATAATCTTTTCAAAGATCTAATCATACCACCTGTTCATGCTTGAAAATCTTCAATGGCTCCATATTACCTATAAAATAAAATACAATCTCCTTAGCTTGGCCCTTAAGCACTCTGCCATTTGTTTCCCACCTGCCTTCCCAGTCTTATTTATATCACTTCCTTTCTTACAATTTGAATCTGAGGGACAAATAGTCACTACACCTGTACTAGTTCTCCCACCTGTCTTTCCTGAAATGCATTTTATCCTAATTCTCCCCCTCCAGCTCTCCCTTGGAAAGATTGGGCTTTCTTAGTGCTTTCAATTATGTGCTGTCCTATAGGTGGGCTTAAAATAGGAGCGGGAAACACCACCTGCTAAGCAGCCAGCATAGAATCAGGAACCCAATAATTCTCAAACACTAAAGGGAGTCAGCAATTCTGGAAATGCCCATTTCCCTGGATTGCTATTTGGTTATCTGTGATCAGGGAAAGAAAAACAAACAGAAGAGGCAAACACGTTCTCTTGCTGCCAAGTATTGGAGTTATAGCTGCCACTGAAGCTGATGGGTTAGGAGGGTGGTGAGAGAGGGTAATCCCCTCCCAACCATGCAGGAAAACCAAGAAAAAACTAGTGGGGTCCCAAATAAAATATGTAAAAATAGAGAAAAGTAGAACTTTTCAACAGGTTTAGTAACTTATTGAAGGCATAATATTCCTTTCTCAGTCACTAAGGACCATCCAAGAGTGACTAAATAATCAGCAAAGATCAGTGTATATTCCTTAGCAAGAGGCCAATGAGTATGTCCACCTACATGAAGCCAATGAGTGTGCTTAGCTTTCTAGGAGGTTCCATATTCCAGCCAATTAAATAGAAATCCCTCAGCCTGGAATTTAAAGCCCTTCAGTCTGGCTCAATTCTACAATTTCCATCTTCATTTCATATTATTCTCCTTCACAAAGTCTATGTTTAATTAAAATTATCCTGCATCTTGTTCTTCAAACTTAGCATCCCATCTATGGCCTCTGAGCATTTGTATAAGCTTCTTTCATTCCCAAAATGTACTCGCTCCTTGCCTCTGCTTTAAAATTTTTTTAACATCCTTCAAAGCTCTGCTCATGTGCCTTCTACTATGATACTTGTCTGATACCATATAGATGTTAGTATTTTCTTCTTTCTCAAATCATTTTTTATTTACTTCCCTGTGTTCATATCGTATGCTCCCTTCCAAGCAGAATGTAATCTTTAGATCAGTTTTAGTTTAGTTTTTTTTTCTCTTTGAATCTTCAGGGCTTAACAGTGGGCCTTACACAGTAGTTAAGTTTTTACTGAATTGAATGTGATTAATTGTGTAACGTGAACTAATAGGAGCATTTAAAAGTGATTAAGACATGAGATAGTTGTTGAATAAACTGGGCACAGCAATGGCTAATGCAGCAGTCAGACACAAGGCCACTTACAGCTCAATTCTCTGTGATTCTGTAGATATAAGACATTCATTCATCTATGGTAATATTCCAAACTCACAACACTTTCTTTTCACCATACTGACCCTAATTTAGATGTGTCATACATTCACCATTAAGTCTCTCCTTTTTTTTTTTTTGTGAGGCAATTGGGGTTAAATAACTTGCCCAGAGTCACACAGCTAGGGAGTATTATGTGTCTGAAGCCAGATTTGAACTGAGGTCTTCCTGACTTCTGGGCCAGTGCTCTATCCATTGCACCACCTCGCTGCCCCCTAAGTCTCTCCTTGGTTCCCTCAATATTAATGATATTTATTTTTTTGAGCTTGGTCAATATTCTCCAATACATTTCTGAACCATATTTCCCCTCCCTCAGGCTACCATATAATCAGCTAGTCACAATAGCACCAGCACATTTCAAAAATTACTAGAAGGGAAGAGGAAAGTATCCTCTTTCATTCAGGGTTATTATAATTCATGGGATAATAAATAAGATATATGGCTCATAGCTGAAGTTTACATGGTCTGGGCTCTAGTTCTAGTTAGTAGAATCCGGTGAAAGAAAAATACCAAATTTCAATACCAATCAAATGACTAAAACAAATGACTCTTTACAAAAGCAGGAAAGAGCTACAGAACACAGAACTAGTACTTGGAGAGCAATTCTGAGCACCAATGCATTAGAAAGAAACTAGGAAGAAGAGAATAGAAGGTAAATAGGATTGGGAAATGGAAGGGGGCTTCCAGATCCTTTAGCCCAATCATCACATCTTAAAGATGGGGTTGCTTAAAATCAGAGAAGTGTGCAAGGTCACACAAGTAGTAAGAAGTACCTTGGAACCCAATATATCTGAAAATACTTCAGTCCCTTGATGATATTTGCGTAAAGTCAGTGGCAGTATTGCATAGGAAATCAATAACATATTTTAATAAAATAAATTCCCCATGGGAGCCAAAAGCTTCACCTTACTTACAAAAACATTAGTAGGTAATTTCCTCACTGATTTAAGTACTTAACCTTTCACTGTAGAATGTTGACCAAAGTATTAGAAACTTCATACATTAGATACCCTTTCAAGTATATCCCAAAATTTGAATTGCTGTCAGTAAGAAAAACAGTTTTCTGTTCATTCTAAGGCAAATCAAAAGTACTGATTATGGTTTCACAATCCTTAAGAAAATTAATCTAATAAATTCTGAAACTGTCCCTCTAGCCCAGTGTAGCTCAGAACCACTAAAAAACCCAGCTGCTGTCACAATGAATTAATAAGGCAAAGAATACAACAAAGATCATTCTGTCTCTGAAGGAAATGAAAGGCAAACTTCTCCTCCTACTCACATCAATAGCCCTTGCTAAAGGCCGACCAAACCATTTCAGAAGCTATTCTGAATATTATAAAATGTCAAATGCATCCTGAATGTGTTCTCAAGATTTTTTAGACATCTAGGTTGTCTATTCAAAACTTGAGGCATTTTGATATGTGCACATTTACGGTTCTCATACTGATAGCTAGCACTGAGACAGCTGTGTCCTAACTAATTTATGCCTGGGTATATCAACTAGGTTTCAGTGTAACAGATGCAATGGCTGCTATAAAATTTATTGTGTTCTTCTCATTTAGGGAATTTTAGAAAAAATAACTTGTTAAACAGGACTTCCACTATACTCCAAGTTATGGCTCCTGAGACCTGGCTCTTTGTAAATGATAGGAGATTGCAATGGACTGAAATGATGTGTTATGTGCAAAGTAAATCAGAATATAGGAGAGACAGGAAAGTAGGCCCTTCATATGTCTTAAATTTTCTTTTTTTCTAATTTTCTTCCAGCTTGGCCTGTTTCTGCCACTGTTTACATTATGCCCGCTATCTTCTAGAGACATTGTTTGTTCATAAACTTTCTGGAGAGCACACACCTTTGAAAAATTTAATAAAGGTAGGAACAAATAGTCCTTACAGTTTTCTTTTTTGGGTTTATTTTTTGTTAAAGGAAAGAAAACTGTATTTTTGGATAGATGCAAAATTTAGTTGGAAGAAATTGTCATTTTGCTTTAAACTAGATATTCTTTACTGATATATTGGCTGACCTAAAAATTTCGGTTGCTAACACAGTTCTAGCAGTGTAACATATATCTTTAGTTAGATTAGCCATCATTCTAGTTTTGCATTATATGTTTGGACAGTTTTACAATGATCAAAGGCTCTAAGATGGAAATATACTGACAAATCCTGTGTGTAAATAGACAACACAAAAAACCAATCAACCAAACAAACAAACAAACAAAAAGAAGCAATATTTATAAAGCTACATGGGCAGATGGCTGAGAAACAAACAAACAAACTTTTGAAGATTGTAAAGAATGACATTCAAATTCAATGACTTTTATAAATATGATTCAATGAAAAATATCAATAACAATAGATAGTAGATAGGTTTTCCTCTCAGTTAGCAAAATCTTTATGCTAGGTGGCGCTGTGGTATTAGAGGTGTGATCTTATTGGAAGCCTGGGAGCTGAGATCCTGGTCACTAATAGCAGTTAAAAAAATGTAGAGTACTTTTCAAAAGACTGTAGTTGTGACTACATGATGCCCAAATAATCAATAGTGAAGTTGAACATTTATTTAATTTACTTAATACCTACTAGTTGGTTTCACTTGTTTTATTTTTATGTATTTAACTGAATTACCCACAGTCTTTTACAGATTAACATCTTTGGGCCCCTAACTAAAATTTATAACAACAAAAACAACTGATTTCAGATGTTTTCACAAAAAGTAATTTCTTGTTATCATCATCATCAATTTATATTTTGCCTTGATCTTCTCAACATTTTACATCCAGAATATAGTAAAATGAGGCTTGTATTTAGAATATTTCCTTTTGAGGCATTGCTAAATTGTGAATTACCAAAGTCAGACTCAAATATATTCACCATTCCATTTTATTTACAGATCACGTTCTAAAGGATTTAGGGGATTTAGTTAGGATCTGGTTAAGATATATACTATGATAATGGGCAATTCTCAGAGACTCTAAGCTACAAAGGAAGCACTGACCTGCATTGAGAAATTGAGGTTCCTCATCTTGGAGTTTCCTATAAAAATAAATAAATATATGTGTATATATGTGTGTGTGTGTGTGTGTGTGTGTGTGTGTGTGTGCGTGCGTGTGTGTGTGTGTTTGTGTGTATAATATATATATATATAAAGTATGTGTGTGTATGTAAAATATTTCATCTAACCACATTGATTTGAGTATAACACTTTGTTACGGTTTCAGTGAACATTCATTGGTGAAATTTATTCAAAATATTCCACATTGGATTAAAGGAATTAGTGTGGCAGCCCAAAATAATCTGTGAATTTCATCTAATTCATAGTACAAGCATAGTGTCATTTTTTTTTCACTGAATAATTTCTCCCAATACTTATAGGACTAAAATTCCCTCAATTGTTCAAGGAGTTAAAACACAGTTTTGAATGGACTCCTTATTAAATTAGGAAGATATCATTTATTACTGAATGCATACAATTCCTTAAATTCACATTCTATAGTATATATTTTGCTGTTTCCTTTAATTAATTAACTATGTTAACATGACCTATTGCCATTATTCCTTGACCTTAATTCTCCCTTTAAGAACTATGTTAGTAGTAATAATATTTTTTGAAAGTCTAGCATTTATACAGTGCTTACTATATACCAGAGACTGTGCTAAGTGCTTTACAAATATTATCTCCTTTGAGCCTCACAACAACACTGAGAAGTAGTTGCTATTATTTTCCCCAATTTGCACGTGAAGAAACTAAGGTAGACAGTAGAAAAAGACTTCTTTATTCCTTTTCTAAATTGTTGGCTGGAATAATCATATCCCACTTACCTGGAGATACCATAGTTGTCAGCCTCAAGTATCTGGAACATAATTAAAAACCCCAAAGAAAGTTTAAAACTTTTAATATCAAAACAAAAGGCCTTTGAGCAGCCAAAAGATATGCCACAAAAAGATGCCACAACTATCATGTAAGAGGCTCTTTATTCTTATTTTAGATATCACTTGAACCAGCTTTCCTGTATGGCTTTAGAGCTCAAAGAAGACTAGAAAAATGAAATTAGTAATAGAGGGGAATTGTGCTAGACCAACAGAGGCAAGAAATGATCATAGATTTGCATGTGGAAGAGACATGAGAAGTCACCTTGTCCAACCCTGTCATTCCAGGGTTCTACTGAAGTCAAGTGACTTGCCCAAAATCATATAGCTAGTAAATGACAGCTGGGAATCAAACATAGGTCCTCAGACTCCAAAGCCAACTTTCTTTCCACAAAGTGGTATGTGTGTGTGTGTGTGTGTGTGTGTGTGTGTGCGTGCACGCATGTGTCTGCGTGCATATGCGTATGTGTGTTTCTTAAATAAATATTCCCCCCACCCCTTATCCACCAGTAACTAAACATTGACAGCAAGAGAAGAGAATGAAAAACAAGCACAAAAACTAGAAGGCATATAAGCCTTGGATCATTTAAGAGCAATCTCACACATTTTCAAAGTCATCATTAACACTGTGGCTGGCAGGTAGTAGGTACTTAATAAATGCTTGTTGACCAACTAGTTTTATGTGTGGGCATTCATTTCACTGATGCAGATTGAAACATCAGGTCTTATTAGATCATAAGGTCATAGCTTTAGAACTGTAAGGGATCTTAGAAGTCATCTAGCTCAAAACCATATTTTAGAGATTAGCCGGAGGAGGAAAACAACTTCCCCAAGGTCGCATACGTTAGTAAATGTCAAAGCTGAGATTTGAATCCAGGTTTTCTGATTCTAAGTTCACTATTCTTTTTACTACACCAAGATGTCCCCATATAAGCCCATGAGTTGATGACACTCCCCCCGCCAAAAAGAAGGAATTGTTTGACAAACTTTCATTGCTGAGCATCTCTAAGGGTGATTCTTTTACAACACTCCATATTCAAAGCTGTTCCATCTAGGTAGGACCTTCCAGAGATAGTAGTCCATAAGCATGGATGTTAATAGTTCAGACTTCCACTTAGTCACAATAAGAAATGAGTAGGATTTCAGTGGAAATAGAGAATTTTTAGATACACATTATATATATATATATACACATATACATATATATGCACACATGCATATACATATATACACATATATCCTGAAACATGTATACATATATATGTATGTGCATATGCATGTGTATATGTATTATGTGTATATATATATATGTAATGTGTGTGTACAGTGCTATTTATATATACCATTTAAAATGGCAAAGAAGTGTGAGGTGTATTTGAGAGAGATTAATATTGAAAATCTAAAGATCTTACTGAAAATAAAATTTTCTAATTTAAATTAGTATCAGTTATTGAGGAAATTAACTCATTTGTCTCCAAATGCCAAGCAATTTAAATATTAGATTTTTGCCTTTCTTGAGGGAAATTGTCTCTATATAAACTCATTCAGTTTAGGTTTAAGCTTTTGTATAGATTTGAGTACATCAAAATATCAATACTGAGGGGAGAGATTGAAGCGTTTTCAGAAGTCACTAGCCAAGAACAGTGATATTTTCCTATTGGTAACTTTTTCTTTTAATGAGTTTAATGAGTTTAAACATTAATTTGCTATTAGGAGTTTTCTGATTCTAGTCTAAAAATTATTGTTGATTTACCATGTAATTGATTATCTGCTAAGATGTAGGTTTTCTTAATTACTAAGAATGTTACAACTCACTTCTAAATTTGAAATATTTTAATTTTTAAAATCATTCAAGGACTAAAAACAAATTCACTAATTACAAAAGTCCTCAGAAGGTTACTATAAAATGCATGAAGCTAAGGATTGTCAGAGATTAATAATATGATAGTATAGTTTCAAATGATGTGTCATTTCACGTTTAATTTAATTATATTTCACATATATTTGTGTTTTCATTATAGGGATGTGCCTTTTACTGGGGATTCACTTCTTGGATTGCATACTACATTAATCACCCTCAGTACACACCACCATGTATGTAGTATTGAATTGAGTATGTATGTAGTATTGAATAAAAATCTGCAATTTCTTTTCCAGTTAATTTGCAGTTATGCTTACTAATGGTGAATAAAATTCACAGATAATCCAAAGCATCATTTCAGTCAATTAATCTCACATGGTTCACCAATGAAAGTTTTACCAGAGTTACTAATAATCAGGGCATTAAATAATAATGAAAAGGGAAATTTCTATTCTTTTGTCCTTCTTTTCCTCTTCTTCTTCTTCATATGACTACTAGAAAGGAGACAGAATGTGATAAAATATCCCAGGGTACGAAAAGAAAAGATCCTGAATACCACAATGTCTTCTCTCCACCAATGGCACATCACATTAATTACCTTTGCTACACACCACCATCTACAACCCTCCCATGCTATTGATAGGTATGGATATAGATAGATTATAGATATAGATTTGCTGACACAATGATATATGTGTATATATGATATATCTAAATCTACACATATATGTATATACACACATGTAAATGTATATAACTACATATACAAATACATTAATTTGTAAAAGAGTTTAGAATTAATCAACACAACAACTCCTGATATGGGAATTCTTTTCACTAAGGCTGATTATAGCCTGTTTATAACTGATACCTTAGAGAGTTGTCCAAAATCTAGTATCATTGCTTTGGTCTTTCTGATTCCAATTCTAGTATTCTCTCAGCTATGAAGTACTACTTCTTCCTTCTCTCTTTTTTCTTTCACTAAGTGTGTCTGTGCCTGTGTGCCTGTGTGTGTGTGTATGTGTATATATGTATAGAGTGTCAGCCTTGGAGACAGGAAGACCTGGTTTCAAGACTACTCTCTTATGCATGGCTACGTAAGCATGGAGCAAGTTGTGCCTGAGTGAAGTCTCTAGACCTGTACCTTGAAAGTTATAGGTGAGTTACCAATCTGTATCAATGAAGGGAATATTCACAATGACAATAGTTCCCCATAATAATGACTGTAAGTATCATATAAGCATACCCTGAGCCAAATATTCAATATTTCAAATGACATTTTTCACTATTTAAATAAGTACCAGGTACATAAAATAATTTAGGAAAGGCGAATTTATTAATACATTACTATAAATTGTACAGTGTTTTATGTAACCATGTGGGTTTAAAGTGAGACCTCTAAAAAAAGCTTGTTTTGCTGTTGCTGCTGCTACTGTTGCTGCTGTGGCTGAGGCTACTGCTATTGCAGATTTGAACTTTATAACCAAGGTGTTGGGATTTAGCTAAAAGGGAAATCTTCAAATTCTCGTTCCTTATGACAGTGCCTGTGTGAATCATGTAGTGCATTAAGTCATCTTTATCTAAAGCAATAATAATATATTTTTTCCTGTACATTGAAAAACTTGGCACTTATTTTAAAACTTTTGTTTTAAAATAAATTAAAAACAGGAAAAAAAAATCTGCCTTTCTAATTTGGGCACTATCTACAGAGGTATTATGATATTGGAGGTAAATGGAATACATTTAATTGGAACTTTCACTTTACCTAAGTTTGGAACTTTCTCTTTGGAATGTCAGCTGCCCTTGACTTTCTAGGTCTTCCAAGATACCTAATGCAAAGTTTATCAGGTTGCCCAGGTTATTTGCTATTGTTACCACAGTCTCATATTCTTGGAGAAAGGAATATGGCATAGGGTTTTTGAGGCTTTTTCATTTTCTTCTTTCTGCCATTTCCTCCAATATTGATACAAATATTTTGTCTTGGTGGTGAGGGATGGGATAGGATAGTGAGGGGGAAGATGCTGAGGAAAGTCAGAGATTTACTTCTTTTTTTCCTTTCTCAATATTATTTGAAATGGAAGAAAAGTAATAACTTTTATGTTCGGCCAACTCAAAAATAAAATAGAAACTTTCAAACTCCAAAGGGTCAGTTCACATGCTGGGGAAGGAAAATTGTATCCCAAGTACCTACTATATATGGTCAATTTCAAGGCAAATAAATTTAAGAAAATGATAGATATTGATTGATATTGATAGAAAAACTCTTGCATACAGCAAAGTCTGTTGTAAAACAGATAGATGTTCAGAGGCAATTACATCCGAGCGGATAAAATAGACTTCTTTGGTCTTTAACATAATATTATTCAAAATTAGACTTTAGGAAGTAGAAATGAAAAAAAAAGCCTCATCTTGAACAACAAAGACACTGATGCTACAATGCTGTCCTTTGAGTCAGGAAGACATAGGTTCATGCCTCATTTCTGAAACATACTAACTTTTTGACCTTGAGCAGTTAACCTTTCTGAGTGCCAGGCAAACCTGCAAATCTGTAAGTACAGACAAGTTGCCGTGAGGAGAAGCTTCCGTACTGGAAGATCCCTGCAATGATGAAATCACAGGGTCCTCTTATTGGTCATAATGATCATACAGCTAAATACATTGTGCATTTTTGAATATCTGCACTCTGCATGTAATGGAGTTTCTAACTACTGCTGATTCCCTTTTTACGGTGATGATGATGAAGAGGTGGCAATTCTGAATCTATGGTTTCATTGCTATCAAGAAATATTGGTGGTGAAATTCCTCCAATTAAAAAAGAACAATAATTGATCTGCAATTTATAGTCTTAGAAAGGGACACTGAGGGGTTAAGGAACTTGTCCAAGGTCACATAGCCAGTACATATCAGAGATGAAATCTGAACTCAATTCTTCCTGACTCTAAGGTTGATTCTCTATCCACTGTGCCCTGCTGCCTCTCTGACTAATGTTCACGTTAATATGCAAATTCCTATTTTTCCTATTTTCTAGCATTTGGAAACAGGCAAGTCACAATTTCTGTCCTCAATTTTCTGGTATGTATCAAAATGTCTTTTGAATATTACTTGTTTAAGCTTTGAATAATTTATTTTATTTGAAGAATATTAGACCACATTGCATCTGAATAATTAACAGGTACTTGCTATAATCCAATTTATGGGAATGAAAAATAGTATAAAGTCATAGTTCCCAAATTGCCTTCTAACCAATACTGTTTTCTTTCTAATCATACATTGGAAAACTACAATACCTGTATGAAAACAATTTGTGGTATTCTAAAATAGGCTAAATTACATTCAATTTCACAAGCATTTACTAAGTGTCCACTGTGTACAGAGTACTCAACCTGGTAATGAGGAGAAGGCTCCTGATTCAGATAACTTATGTTATAGTAGGGGGCATGACACCCAAATGGCTATATTCAAAAGAAATACATGATCATTGCTTGAGAAATAAAATGATAGTTGTTTGATATAAAGGTGTTCATTCTTTTCAACACCAGTACTAACCAGTGACTATCTTTTTGCCAGTTTACAAACCATAATATTTTTAAAGGGTCTATCAATATAGGCGGGAATAATTGTAAATCACTTAAAAACTCTCTTAATTCAAGAGGACTTCCTGATTCATTTTGTCTGAAGTAGAATTTGCCTCTCCCCTGAATTCACAATGCACTTATAATCAAAGTATATTCTGTTACCTCACAGGTATAAGTTGTTGCTTGTTCTCTCTTTAGGTCATTGATTATACTATTATATATATTTTCCCCGACTATAGGCATTTGCCCCAAGGCCAAGGAAATCTATTTTTTATTAGATTTGAGCTTGTGTCTCTTTATTTCTTTTCCCAACAGTGCCCAGGTTAGTTTACAAGAATACACTTTAGCCTCTCTAGAAAACTTGTAGAACTCTTGGATGAATCAACAGTTAGAAAAGTGTAGAGCTGTGTTTTGTTATATGGTATATATTTCCCTTGGCCAAATGTATTAGATATTTTAAAATGTATCAAATGTATTTGTATAAACCATTCATCTTTAATCATTAAGTCATTTAAGTGGAAAAATTTAATTTAAGGATCTAATATTTAACCTAAAAAATGAACCATAAGGACAGGGGTCTGTTTCTACCTTTTTTGTTTTTCTAGGACTTAGCAAAACATTGGGCACAAAAGAACCACTTATTAACTAGTGTTGACTTGTTGATCAAATTATATTGTCTGTCACTACATGCTAGAAGGGAGAAGTAGTTTTTTTTTCCTTCTTTTTACATGCCAATGGTGGAATGTCTATGATAAGATGTAGTCATCACAAGGATTGTCGTTCAGACATCACTAGTCTTAACTAATGCTGAAGACATGGCCTCACCTCTAACTTTCAATCAATGATCAGTCTACCTAGTCTACATTGCAATAGTCCAGATCCATTTAATAGAGAAACAATAGCAGCTAATAGTCTCTAAAAACTAATTGAAAATGCATAACTATTTTACATATTCTTTTCCTTTTTTATTCACTCTATGTTCTCCATAAATGTTGCCAACTTTTTAAATATTGCCATTGTTTTCATTAAAGAAAGATACCCTTTCTCAAGTATGATGACTTCTTCCATTTTTTCCAGTGCTTTCACTGAACATGTGTGCTTCTAGTTGGAGGAGATGTATTTCAATAAAAATTTACCCCATTTAAAATCTGAAAATAAAAAAAATATTATACTATAACTTATAAAATGTAGCTAAATTATTATAAAACTAAAATTTTAAAGTCTATCTATATGGATATAATGTGATGGAAATTTATATGTATATGTGTATGTATGTATGCATGTTTCTTTGTAATTTAGCATAACTAGAATAGTCACAAAAGTATATTTTAGAAAACATATGTAATATTTCCCAAATCAGATGTTTTAAACATACTTAATATGACAATTAAAGGAACAAATGGGGCCTATTTTTCATATAATAGGAATGAGGAAAATATATAATAATTAGTTTCAATTTATTAAAGCTTAACATAAAAAAAAACCTCCTGCTATAATCTTAAGTGTTGATCACTGATATTGTATGTTTGGTAGCAAAAGAGTGTTATTAGTCATTATTTTGGCATAAAAGGCAGCAAAGATTTTTTTTTTAACTTAAGGTTGGCTTGCATTAGATTAAAAGCACCAAAAAAAATTTTCTCTGGGGAGTCTTTTTTTTTTTTACTAGATGAGATCTGCTTCCATCAGAGTATAGTCAACTCTTGATTACCTAAACTGAACATGTTTCAAAACAAGTGAGCCCCAAGACCTCAGAAAACAATTCCTTGCCAGATGTTTCAAGCTCTGCTCCAACTCAGCCCTAATCTTCCCTTGTCTCCTTTTGTTTATCTGTCTTGATTACAGATTTAAAGATTTTGGATTGACTACCAACAACTTCCTTGTTTAGATCCACTGGCTGTTGAGTTAAGCCTCCAGATTACTCCTATGTGATCTCTGTGCCACTCAAACACTCAGGCACTCTGCATGGTTTTATTCAGTTTTTCCTTACTACTAGGTGTGTGTGTGTGTATGTATGTATGCATGCATGTATGTATGGTTATGGACATGTATGGACTATATGCATAGTCAAAAAATTTTCCAGTTATATTTTGTTTAGTCTGAATTGATTAATATCCCATTTACACACACACACACACACACACAAACACAAACATCCTGAAACCAAGTAGTGTAACAAGTCAATAATTTGGATTATCCCCAGTATTGATTTATTTATCTTGCTTTCCTCCTCTTTTACTATGAATACTTGCATCTATCTTCTCCAGTTTCCTATAGGAAATAGCTGCAATAAGCATACACCTATCTGCAATGTCTTCAACCTGTTCTTGCCCATTAAATACTTCCTCTTCTGCCAGTAATTATATTCAGGTCTTGTTTAGCCTAAAGAAACCTCACAGCTTTCCTACCCCCTTGATTTATTATTTTCTCTTTTTCCTTCATTTTATCAAAGAGTCTTTTAGACTTGTGACTTCTATTTCCTTAGAAATCATTCGCTCCTTAACCCATTATGATCTGGCTTCTGCTAGCACCATTAAACTGAACATACATTCTCGATTTTAAACACCAAATATCTCTGCATGGTGAATCACTGTTTACCACTCCTCTCCTTAAAACACTACCTTCCTTTCTTGTCACTGACTCTTCTGGTTCTAATCCTTGCTCACTAACCTATCCTTCTCTTCCTCTTTTTCTACCTCCTCTGCATACTCTTACTTCGTGTATTTATTCACTCCCTAATATTGGAGTCAACATTCCTCTGTCTTTCTCTATCTCTATCTCTCTCTGTCTCCCTCTCCCTCTCCCTCCCTCCCTCTCTCTCTCTCTCTCTCTCTCTCTCCTAACTTCATTATCTCTTATAGTTTGTTGCTGCTGACAACTCCAAAATTTATATTTCCAGTCCTTATTTCTCTTTCAAGTTTTAGTCCCATAATTCCAAAGGCTAATATACATCTTTAGCTAGATATCTTTGCAAAATTTTAGCTTAATATCACTACCCTAAATGGAACTTATAATCTCCCCTCCAAAAAAATTAAAAACCAGTTCCTCCTATTGATTTCAGTATTATTGCCAAAGACCGTCAAACATCCAAGTGCAAAACTTTAAAATTATTTTTATATAAAAGAATATTTAACATTTATGCACACTTGCAGTGTTACAAAATTATTTACATATATTATTTCAGATCTTTACAACAACTTTGGAGGTTTGATGCTATTATTATGCCCATTTCACAGAGAAGTTGAGTGATTTGCCAAAGATCACACAGTCACTAATTATCTGAGGTCATATTTGAACTCGAGTATTTCTCATTCCAGGTCCATTGCTTTTTCACTGGTCTGCCTGGCTGCCTCTAATGCCAGTGCCAGTACATGCCAATGAACAGAAAAGAATGCATTCTCTAACCCTTCTGCCTCCATACAGTCACTCAGACCTGACATTTCTCTTCTCACATGCTATCTTGAATCTATCTCTTTCTAACTGTTGCCATAGTCACTTCCCTAGTTCAGGACCTTAGGACCTCTTAACTGACCTAAAAATACTCATCTAACTGGCAAACTTCCTCCTCCGTATACTCTTACCAGATTAGCATTGTGCTACTCTAATCATGTCACTTTCCATGTTACAAAAGCAACAATAACTTAGCTTTGCCTTTTGAATAAAATCCAAGCCCTTTGCCTGACATTTAAGGCTCTCCAAAGTCTGGTTCAATCTGTTGTTTCCAATTTCATTTCCTACTACTTCCTCACAGATACCATTTGCTCCTCACAAATCAGATTACTGTTCTCACTATTCTACAAATATGTCTTCTTTACCATCATAAATATTTGCTCGTGCTATTCCCTCCTCCTCTCATCTTGTCAAAATTCTAAATCACCTCCACCATGTAACATTAGATGTTTGTAATACACACATATAGCATAAAAATGTAGGTTATTCTCTTGCAGTAAAACTTGTATGTGCTGTCAGAGTGTTAAAAATCTAGTCAAGATCTTTGAATTGACTCTGAGTACAATATATGAATTACCAGGCGGTGTTCTGAACTCAATCTACTGTACCAAGTTTCTTTTAGTCCTTTGTTACATGTGCACAGGCAGATAATTGTCTAGATTCTTGTCCATGAATCAAGGAACAAACATAATCTTCCAGATAATGGCATAGCTTTGATATTCAACTCAAACATTATTTTGCCCTTGTTTTTCTGACTCCCAACATACAGAATAAAATATGAAATATTCTACTGGCCTTCTCCCCTTTGTGGGAAATTTAGATGTGTAGTTGTAATCAGACACTTATTAGCTGTGTGACCCTGGACAAGTCACTTAGCCTCAGTTTGCTTCAGTTTCCTCAACTATAAAATAGGGATCATAACAATGCCTATCTCCAGGGTTGTTTAGAGGATCAAGTGAAATAATTTTCATAAAGCACTCAGAATAGTGCCTACACCTAGGAGGTGCTATGTAAATGTTTATTCCCTTCCTTCTCTCTCTTAATCAGTGC